TACGATTTGCCAATTGAATCTATTTAGTCAATTTTGACTGGAAATTGCTAACATGGATGCCGATTATTTTACATGGTATATCAGCGCTGACATAGATATTTTTAATAATATTTTAATAATTTTTTGAAATTTTTATTTTTTTCCTTTCCTTTACCTTTTTTTTTTCTTTTATGAGTTTTGGAGTGAGGGCCGGCAGCCGTTGCTAGATTTAAGCGAGGGCTCGCGTGCCCTTGCTTTGGTCAGCAAGGGCATCATGACCCTCACCCTCGCCTAGTGGCCAATGAGGGCATCACGACCCTCATCCATGGGGCAACCCTCACCAGCCCTCACTCCAAAACCCAGAAAGAACAGTAGAAATGAAAAAAAAGAAGAAAATTTTCAAATTATTATTAAAAATATCCATATTAGTGCCAGCTGTCCTACCTGGCAAGATCGACATCCATGTTAGTAATTTTTCGGTCAAAATAGGCCGAATGGATTCAGTTGGCAAAACGTGAAAATAATTTTGACTCAATTGGCACAATAAAAAAGTTTAGAACTCAATTGGTAAAAGAGTAGGTTTATAACTTTTTTGGTAATTTTCTCGATCACCTACTCGTGCATTCTTTTTACATGAATCCACCAATTTTTGAAAGAGGAAGTTTACTCCAATCAAGAATATTATTGGTAAAGGTGATCGAGAGGAAAGCGAGAGGATTTTACACGTATCATCTTGTTTGGAAGGAAGGTGACCAAGGGTACAGAAAAGAAAGGATGAAGTGGGATTTGATGCGGTTAATTTTATGTGGACTTGGTTCCCTTCAAATTCGTCCTACTATTTATAAATTTTTTTTCTTTCCCATTTATTCTTTTATGGAATTTTAATTTAGAAAAATTATTACCCGAAATCCTAAATTATACCTAATGCGACACCAATAACACAAAATTTCTTTTCTATATCACCAAACTCCCAAATTTGTGACAAAAATACCCTCCATCTATTACCAAAAAATAAATTTTGTTCATTGCAAAACCGATATCCCAAAACTTTTACCGCGTCACGATTATCTAAATTTGTATCGCTGTGGCAAAAAATGCCCTCCGTCTACCACTAAAAACTCTAAACTTTGCCAACTATAATACCAATATCCCAAACTTTTTTCCATGTGACCAATACTTCCAAACTTGTGCTATTGGCCACTGGGTGTTTTTGTCATACCAGTACAAGTTTGGGGGTTAAGTTAAATATATTGGTATTACAATGGGCATAGTTCAGGGGCCTTTGTTGACACAAAATAAAATTTGGGGTATTAGTGTCACAATAGACATGATTTAGAGTTTTACGTGATTGGAAAAAAAAATTGCGGTATTGGACCTAATGGTGTCACAATGAATATAATTTAGGGTTGTTTTTTTTTTATAGTTTTGACCCCTTTAATTTATAAGTGCACAAAACGACATTAAAGTCATAATCCATTCCACCAAAAACAAAATCATATTCCATCAAAGGACATCAAAAATCCTAAATCCTAATCCATTTTTTCTATTTCCGTTGTCTCGTCTGCATCCAAAAAACACTTCCTCCATTTCGTTTCTTTATTATTTTTCTCTCATAATTGTTCGAATCCCTTCTTAATTCCCTTTCTAATTAAACATTACCCAATTAAAATCATGATCTATGAGGTATTAAGATCCACACTTGCTTATACAATAATCGATTATGTTACGCTTGTTGGGTCATTTATAAAACAAGTCTATGCAATATTTATCCCAACCATACGCGTTCTACCCAAAACCATGTGTCAAGTCTCAATCATGCCTCTTCTTGTTTGGATGCTTGGTCAGACAAGAGGGGAATACCCTCCTCCGTTCCTCAAATTCCATCAAACCCTAATCAAAGTGAGAGAGTTGATGTCAGTTCCTAGAATAATGAACTCTTGAGGCTCTTTGGCTGTGAAGCTTTGCTTGGTTAGGCCTTATTATTTCATTACGACTTCTGGCCAAGAAATAACTTAGTGACTCGAGACTCTTGGGCAACAATCGACTGGATCGCACGACCTCGCCAGCCCCTCGCTGGCCTCTTGCAGCCCGATCTAGCCTCGCCGATCGCCCTCCCGTAAAGAAGACGAACAGTAACAATAAGGGGCAAAACCAGAAAATTTAATAATTGGTGAGGATAGTTTTGGAAGAAAAAACGAGTTTCAGCATTCGGCCAAATATTGTAAGCCCATAACATCATTGGGTTTTCAGCTTTCCCAAGGGCAGCATTTAGCCTAAAGCCACTTGACAAGGGTTGCCAAACACTCCAGCATTTCTCCAAAGGGCTTTGGAGTCCGAAAGCCCATTGGGAAAGCTGAACCAAACACACCCTAAGAACCCGCAAGGCATTGGCCTAAATAAATGCAACTGGCCATTGTACTATGCTTTCTTGTACTAAACTCTCCTAGTTCTCCTAATCTTAACAACCCTCCTAGACCCAGAGCCAGATTGAATGTTCAGCAGCAACCGATCATACATACATAATGCAAAAGAGGACACAGAAGATGAACCCTGCTTTGTGAGGAGTACTATGCTGTCCAGGTTCGGACTTTTCCTTGAAGCCACCACAAACGAAAACTGATTGACAGCTACGAGATAAAAGAGAAAAGCCCATCATGCACCCCTCCTTACTCTTCCTTTCTGGAACAGCAATCACCTCCAATGGCATTGGCATGGCCCTCTCTGTTTCGCCTCTCCCTTATCCCTTCGGATAGAAGATTCTGACCTCCTTAGACTCCTATTGGTTGGCTCATGCAAGAACCACATTCGTTCACACATATCATCATGAACTCTTCATATCCATATTTATTGTCTGTTCTTTGGATTGGCCTACTTGGGAACGAGCCCTATCGAGGAAGGAAATGGAAAACAGTGCCTCTTCATCACATCGTGGAAAGTGCCCCTCACGGTCACATTATTCTAATGAAGTCCTAGCCGACAATGGATTTCCCTAAAGATGGCAAATCTTGAACCTCAGATGGCAGGTTAATATGACATATTTGGTTGACTCAAGAGCATAAATTAAAATATTGTTTCAAAGTTCATGCCTAAGTTTAATTTGGACACCCTCGTGAAATCGAGCAAAAACGATATCCCTCTCTCTTTGGAAGAGTAGCTCAAAAGTTTATGGAACCAGTCTCAACAAGTATTTAAGAGACGAAGGTGGTTCAAGGCTTCGCCTTAAATGCAATCTGTACGGTCGCGTCTATCTCGAAAGTGTATAGATTGTGCAGGCTAATTAAAGCTTCTTTTTCATTTGAAAGAAAAGGCTCTCCAACAGTAGTCTTTTGGCAATCGGGAACACACTATATGACTTTCGGAGGCATCGGTCTAGATGATAGGGTGTTGTCCACTTCACGGATTGACAGATTGTGCAATGAACAAGAAAGTGTGCATTTTGTCAACCGGGAGTTGTGCAGCACGAGATGTAGATTTTGCAGGTTGTAACAAATACAGGCCATACCTTCATTACTGATATACTGGAAATAAATACCGAATACTAACAAATGGATCCGTGGACCTCTTTCTGTATTTTTAGGTGCACTGTACTGATGATGTAATTTTAGACCTGACAATGGGCTGAGCCAGGAACGGCCTTGGGTCGATTGGTTAATTCAGATCGAGTCATGTACATAGCCCAAACCGCTCCTGTAATTTGTCTTGGACCTTCCTGCTACTTTAAGAAATCTCCAAACATGCGAGTCACTGGTTTTCTTCTTCCTCTTGGGCCACTGCAACATTACTAGGATTCAAGAAAACTTCTGACATCCGAGTGTTTGATGGCTATAAATCGGCTAGAACAACCTGAACAGTGAAGAAGCACATTCTCGTTCCCCTGAAATTCTGTAAGGCCTCCACAAGTCGGCGGATTTCGCATAAACTTCACGGGGCGCGCACATGGCCGGCCTCATCCGCTCACGAAGGGTGAGGCCGAGAGATTCACAATTATAAGGAGTTACGCCCTACACTTTTTAGCCGTCAGGATCAGTCTCCCACCGCTATGTCATCACTTTACTTTGCTTTTCGAACTATTAATCCTCGAGAAATCCTCCGTATCACTAATTTTACTAGTATGTCCGTGTCTAATGCTGACAACCACTCTAGACTAATTTGTTTCTTCATTTACTAGAGATCGAATAGCTAAAAAGAAAGTTAGACAGAGCAGGAGACATTCTTATTAAATGCTTTTCTAGCAATTTAACAACGACATCGGCATTTCCGTCCATAATTTCAAAATTGCAATTTTCTTTTTTCATTTTCTTTTTTAGCGCAGTTTCTTTTTTTGTTTTTTGCTTCTTCTTTTTTTTTGGGCAGACTACTGTACAGTAGGAATGAATGACTTAAGAATCAATGAATTGGTAGAGTCAAACATGGAGAGATCTTGCATTGCAGCACAGCTTCGTTGGCATTTCGATCATGACAATTTATCCTTTGACTTTGACTTTCACTTGCATCAAACAAGTTTTGGTCAAACTGTTAGCAGGTCAACGGTTCTAGGAGAACCCGATTCAGATAAGCTCCATTGCATTAGCCAGGCATACCATTACCATCTCAATACTCAATTTTTTCGGCGCCTTGCTCCCTAATAATTATCATCTTTATACCTTTTATCAATTTTACTATAAAGAAAGTTACAGAAAATATAATGTGCATTATCTGTGCAATGTGCATATGTTCATGCACTTTCATTTTTGTTTTTTAGAATATTTACTGATACATATGAATATTGGATAATTTATCTTTAAGAGAAGCCTCTTTATCAGCTTCCATTGCTCATTCCTGCATGCCCCTTCCAGCTTTTGAACAGGCGATTTCCATGGATTAATTGCTCCAAATGAACGAGATCCGTACCGTTGATTTTGTACATGGTTGACTTGACCTGGATGTAATCATATCAGGGCCCACTGTATGTAGCTGGTGATGATCAGGGATTGCTAAAGTCCTGGTCAACTCTTTTCAGGAGATCACATCTTGAAGCCTCTGTTATAAAATGCTGGCCTACGAAAATGCCATCACCCTGCTTCGTTTGCACGAAGAGAAATCATGTCGATCTCAGGAATCCAAGGGCTGCCTCTGGAGGTCACTGGTAGAGTTCGATTCTCTGTTACCATCGTCTGTTTGCTTTCAGCATTGTGAGCTTATCAAATACCTTCGGTTCGACTTGTTTTTCTTTTCTGTTTCATGTGCTAGTCGTCGGATGCGTCAATCTGAAAGACAAGGAATGGATCTCTAGGCAAGACCCTTACGTCTGCCTCGAATGCGCTAGCTCCAAATTCCGAACCAAAACATGTACAGGTAACGCAAGAAATGTATCTTTATTATGTGTTTTTGCGATTTTACTTCATGCTTCAAGGCCGATTTCTAACTGTCTGTAGTTTATTCTCATCCACAAAGATTGAACTTGCTTCTGATATGCGTAGATGGAGGCAAGAATCCCATCTTCCAGGAGAAATTTGTGTTCACCCTCATTGAAGGCCTGCGAGAATTGAATGTCATGGTTTGGAATAGCAACACTCTCTCTGCTGATGACTTCATTGGCACTGGAAGGTACTTGGTGATGGGCATGTAATTCTATTATTTTGACCAGACTGAGAGAGAAACGGCAGATTGAAATCCTAGCAGATTGAAATCCTAGTGAATATTACCACGACATACCTCATCCTGACACCTAGTCCTGAAGTGAGTGGTTTCTTTGGGGTTCTTTTGCCAGGATTCAATTGCACAAGGTTCTGTCTCAAGGCTATGATGACACTGCATGGCCAATTCAGGATAAATGTGGCAGGTAATGAGCTTTTCTGAACCCCTTCCATGCCCTATTACCCTTCACAGTTCACATGTATGCATTGCTTTCTTGATTCCAGGTACTCCGGTGAAGTGAGGCTCATATTGTACTATTCGGCTACTAATGTAACCTCTCTCTCTCTCTCTCTCTCTCTCTCTCTCTCTCTCTCTCTCTCTCAATGCATGCACAGAAACCTGAAAACGATGACTTTTACTTAGGACACAAATGCACCCTTATTACTGAGAAACCATTCTGAGATCTAAGCTTTGCGCTTCTATCAGAAGTGTTCATTATGCTGTTTGTGTTTTTTCGGCACTAATCAACTGGTTAGGCAATTTTAAGCAATACAGCCCGCTCTCCCACTTAACTTGAGAATCTGCATAAGATGGAGTAAAGCAAAAGTACTCGACAGATCTGAAAGGATCTGTTTACAAGACCAAAACGCAAGGAGTTGACAGACTAGTTTTTCTCATTCATTTGCATGAATAGGCACGTTGAACAATGAAACTAACAGGATCACAAAATTCTGCTTTCCCGTGATCTGTGACAAGCAATCAAAGACGAAAGCCAAACCATCGGCTCCGCCGTGCGGAATCCCGAACCCAACCATGCCCGGCATCCTGCCTTACCCCCAAACAACTGCATCTCCTTATCCAACCCCATCACCATACACCGCGGTGCCGGCATATCCTCCTGCTTCAACCACATACCCGCCATCTGCATATCCTCCCCCACCTACTTACTCGGCGTATCCTCCCAGTTCGAGCACATATCCACCGCCTCCTGCCTACCCTCCTCCACCAGCCGGTTATCCCACTTTCGCTCCTGCAGGTTATCCTCCACAGTATCCGCCCTGCGCTCCTGCAGGTTATCCTCCACAGTATCCGCCTCCAGCTGCGACCTGTTACCCTCCAGGTAAATCTAAATCTTCCCTATTTCAATTGCCTTTTTGGATAGGATGAGAGTTCTGCGTACCTGCAAATTGTCATGCCTTCGGATTGTTTGAACTTGCGAATGGAGGATGTCAAGAGTCGCATCCATCTACGGACAGAAGCCTAATGGATTCTCGCTCATTCATATGTCTAATTGAAGCTTGATGGACTTCCCCGCAACGATGCAGGTCCAGCAGCTGGAATTTACCCGCCTCCGCCGTACTGATCAGCAACTGGTCAACTCAGTTCAAAGATAGACCTTGATCAATCGCGCAACAGCAAACTCCATTAAATTACTGGAAGCATGTGAACGATTTGCATTTTCCTCTTTTCTTCTACTTTTCTTTCCCTTCAGTTTCGTCAATTCAACTGAACTTTCGTGACATGATGATCAAATCTGTTCCCTTGGGCCAAGCATTAGTATGTTCTCTTCTGAATCTTTTTGTCAATCTCAAAATCCCATGTCAACTTGCTGCAGCACAATGAACTTCTAAATGGTCAGAAACTAAGAAGCGTGAGGTGACCGAGAGAAGCGGCGACCGTAGTTCTCTCTTACGCATCGACATCACACGCAAACTGTACGCACAATCGGAACCCAAATAAGATCAAAACGATTCGAACAAGAAATAAACAGCAAAAAAAGTAATTGGAGACGGCGGACTCACGTGGTTCGGCAGTTTAAATAATGCTCTATACAAGCAAGTAAGGCCGAAAGTTGCCGGCGCCAGTTACACGTATTCCTCGCCATACGTGAAAAAGCTCACATGTCTTGTCCACTTCTGAGCACGTTCCGAACGAGGAAAAAGGAAAACGAGTTAGAAAAATCTCCGGCCACTTGCGAACACCCTCCGCTTTGTCCCCCCGATCTGCTGCACTTTCCCCCGGCAGTTCAGTTCGATCCAAAGTCCATTCGCGTCCACGCGCGCAAGGGATGGCGCTGCTCGGGATCGACTTCACCTGCGCCCTCGAATCCCTGCGCGACGGCAGAGCCCCGGACAGGGACGACTGCGTCTTGCCTCTGCTGTCGAAGCTCGTCGGGTACTGCCTCATCGCTGCTTCGACCACCGTCAAGCTCCCGCAGGTATGTCTCGTCGCTTTCTTTCTTGTTGTAATGAAAAACGAGAACCCACATGGCGTCTCGTTCGTCGTGATCGGTAACGAACATCGGGCAGTTCTGTTTCCATGGTTTGCACGAGCAATCCAACGAAAAGAACGGATTTTTTTTAGAATGGTTTGACTTTGGCACTTTCCGACATGATGGGAACTCTAGCCCAATGGCGTTAGAGCGCCGGATCGTTTGGATTTAGAAATTTGGGTTTGCTTGAAGGTTGATATATTACAGCTCTTTCAGTAATGTTGGTCGCGGAATCTTGCTTTGGCAACCGCAGATATTGAAGATTGTGAAGCACGGGAGTGCAAGGGGGCTCAGTATGTTATCCTTCGAGCTTGACGTGGTCGGCTACACAATCGCTTTGGCGTATTGCCTCCACAAAGGGCTTCACTTTTCTGCTTATGGCGAGCTGGTGTTTCTTCTGATCCAATGTATGTTACTATGTGGAGCCATTTGAGGAAGCTTAGAGATTGTTTGGTTCTGGACAATCTTCCAAATTCCGGGAGTTCCACTTAGTGCGTTGAGTTCCACCACGTCGCATTTCTTCATGATGTTTGCTCTCATTTTCATGGAGACTCTGCCTAGCTTTGAGAGAGTCATTCATAATCTTAGAACACTAATTTTCTTCTCATTTTGGTTTGGAGGTTCAGAAAACTTTAAGTCTTTAGCCTTCTGGATAACTTCATTTCATTTCCCAAAAACTGGGAAAAAAACTGCCTAACACTTCTTGCTACAGGCACTTGACAGTTTTCTTAAACCGAACAATCAATCGGTTTTTCTCCCATTTAGCCTCAGTGAACGTAGACGCCTGATTATGTGACAATTATTGGAAGTGTGGCTTCCTTGCCATCTTCAGTGCCTCTTTTCAGGGAAAGCAGTAGTTGAAGGGTTCACCTTTAAGTCATCAATTTATCTATCTTGAGCTCATAAGTTAAAGCAGATTAAACTGCAACTTAAGTAAATGAAACGTTAGGTAGCTCTGTCGATTACTTAGTATCTCATACTATTGCTTTTTGATCGTGTACTTAATCAAAGTGGCAACTATGTCCAAGGACAACTCTTGTAGGATGAACTTTTCCGGGAGCACAAACTATTCTACTGCTCATATTAACTAAAAATTGCTTATTGTATTCATAATGCTGTGCATTGACCCTAGGAGTAGAACTTGGTTTTAACGAGTGATATATTCTGCTCTCGAAATGGATGTGTTTCCATCTACTGCTGTTAGATATTTTAATGGAATGACTGCTGTTTACTTTTCTTGCGTGAAACTAAATATCCTGTTACGTGATGACACTACAAGTTAATTTGATGTTCACAATTCACAGCTATAATTCTGGTTGCTGTAATATATTATTACTCACAACCTCTGGGGACCAAGACATGGACCAAGACGCTCCTGTATCCTCTTCCTTTGCCAGCAGAAGTGTCTTTTCCTAAATGGCCTTGTCTTTGATTTTCCCTGATGATTAGATTTTTCAAAATTTTTCCTTTCAAAATTTTTCCTTAACGTGTTGTCATCCAGGTACTTTGCTTTGGCACCGACAATTTTATCTGGTAAAGTTGATCCTGTTCTTTTTGAAGCTTTATATGTGAGTATCAAATTCTTTTGTCACTTTGCAGTCTTCTTCTACTGTCTGATCGTGTTCATTTCCTTTTCCCATTGTTCTCGTTATACTTTCGTCATGTATATGTATTTTTCAATGTATTCCCCTTCTGAGATTCACCTATATGATTTTAACTTAACATGAAACTGGAATCCTCAAACACAGGCATGCCAGCATGCAATATTCTTCTGTGCCAGAGTTCCACAAATATGGAAAAATTTCACTGTAAGTTTTCTGTTTTGGCTGTAAATTCACTTCGAGTTGAAGAATGCTAGTTAATCCTGGTTCAAGGAAACTGTGGTGCTTCTTCTGTTTTGGATTACCATAGAGTGTTTTAAAGGGCATCTCTTCATCTTGAGATAGTGAAGATATAGGATTTGATTATCATTCCAAATGAAATAACCAGGATGGTTGGAAACTTGCATCCAAGTTCAGCTCTCTTTTCCTTAGTTAATCGATTTTCTATATTAGTGGAGCCATGAGAATTAGCTTAGCTGTTATTTTCCTCGCCTTTTTGTTTTTGGTTGCATTTGATTAGGGGGTTAATTAACTAGACATGTGAATTCTCAAGGATTCTCCTGGTAGGACTCACTCTTCTACTTAGAGTTTTGGCCTTTTCAGTAATGAGCATGCGATAAATTGGGTGTATCTTTTTTCGGTCATAATATTTTGAAGGGGTTAATGGCTTCACTGTGCGTCGTTGAGCTGCCCCATTATGATATTTTTGCACTTTTAATCTTGCCATCCTCTTACCATTAGAATACTTCACTGTGTTTGTTGTGATTCTAATAGTAACTTCTTGCTGAGCAGACCAAGAGTACCGGGCAACTTAGCTTCTTGACAATTTTCATGAATTTTGGAGGTTCCCTTGGTGAGTTCAGACTGCTTGTTGAATAGCTCTACACTGTGTGACATAATTAACTTTTTGAATCTAAAGGGACATTTTCGAATTCCTCCTTTATGGCAGCAAGAGTGTTCACCAGCATACAAGAAAAAGCCCCAACGAGCGGTAACCCTCTCTTTTCTCCCTTATGCTTCTCATTTTAAGAAATTTTGCTTTTGAAGATCCACAAAAATACGAAGGTTTCATTATAGGTCAGGCTTCCCTGGGACTCGAAAAGTTCTGCTACTCTTTGCGTCTAACATTTCTTAAAGGAGTCATGATTTGCTTTTGCTTCTGTAGCAAAATCGCTATGGAAGCAATGGCCTTAAAGTTGACTTCGCTTTAGTTTGCTTCTATACGGTCAAATTACTCTGTTTTCCCTTCAGGGAGATCAGAATTTGATCCTTCCTTTTCTCTACCTGTCCACCTGAGTGGCTAATATAAGGGACTCCTTGAATGAAATGCCTTGAGGAAAACTGAGGAACACAACCAATATCTGAACAATGAGCTTGGTGCAGACAAACATGAACCACCATGTCAATGCAGCCAAAATGATGGACATTCTAAAATAGTCTTCTAACCGATTTGACGCGGTCAATGTGACAGTCAGCACACTGTTTTTTTCGGTTTCACTAAGCACCCCCTTTTCTATTTTTGCATCTGCCACAGCCTGTTCAGCTATTTCCTTGTTTCTCATGGATCCTGTCAACTTCTCTGTCCTCATTTATGCTGCAGTTGTTTTGGGCTCGCTGCGAACTGTGGTGACGAATGGCACCATCCTGAGTCAGATAATGATATACCGCAAGTCGCACGAAGAAAAAGGAGAGAAGAAAGTGAAGTAGCAAGCGGGCTTCTGCTCTTTGCAGCTCGAGCAGGTACTTCTCGTGTATGTTCCGGTTCGATCAAATAGCCCGTTGAGGTGAATCGTCATCCTGGTGAAGTGTATCTCAGATATCTAGCTTCTTTTCTTGGATCGAAGGACGAATAGGTGGTCGGGGGTCTTGATGAGTATGGACAGGTATTCATACGCGAACCGAAAGTTGTCTACCATTCCATTCTTAGTATGTAGAATTCGGCTTCTTATCCCGATCGAAAGTAACACGTAGATCGCATTGTATCGTGATCGTGGCCAAACCACTCCAGTTAACTATTTCCACTGTGAAACGATTCTGCCCAAGTAGTCGAGCATAGGTTGGGTGAACCTTGACATGGGGTTGCCATATAAGTCCTTTTGGTGTGGGATGCTTTCGAGTCTCTATTTTGCGCTCCTATCTCCCGTTGGTGGTTCTCTCTTTGTACACCAAAAGAGATTTTATCTTTCTATCAGTAAAGCTAAAATATGAAATCATTGTAATATAAATAATAAAAAAATCAGAAAAGTAAAACGGGTAATGAAAAGATAGAATAGTTTCATTGATTCGGGATATGGATTGAAATGAAAAGATATTCTAGAATCTGGACAGTAGCGTAATTATCAAAACTTGTGTATAGTACCGAAAGACATATTTGACTTGACTTTGTTATGGAAAGTTGATGGGCTGAATCGGAGAAATTGAAATTTTAAGGATTAGATTGCACATTTTGCAATAGTGCAGGGACTTGCGATTCTCTCTCTTGTTTGATCAAACGGAAGCACTACATTAAACATTTAAAAGCAGTCTAAAGATCGCATTGAACGAATTAAAAGTTTGAGGACGACATTGCATATTCGGCCAAAATTCAGAGATTATTAATGTCGTTTTCTATTCTTTTTCTTCTCTAATTCTTGTTTTTTTTTTTAATGTTTTGGTGGTTGGGATGGAACATATCCGTGACGTTTAGAAGTCTTTGGACTAAACTTGGGGTCACTCTCTATTACGTTACAACGAGAGAATCTCAAGAACGAAGGCCGGAAAATATGACAGAAAAAGGGGGCTCAACTACTCTTACTCTCTAGCGAAGTCCTTCCAAATCAACCAAAATCGTCATTAAATCCTAAGGTGAGTTGGTAATTGGTGGAACTCGAAGAGAAAGTAATGAAAAAACAGAAAAAAAAAAGTACGGAAGGAAAATGAGGGCAGGATGTACCAATGTTACAATTTTAAGAGCAATAGTTTCTCGAATGGATACGTAGTTTAAAACGCAGTCGGCTAATTCGAAAGTCTTATCTCTGGTTTGGATACAGTGTCCGGACACGGGATCTTTCCTTGGTTTGCATGCTAAGAGAAAGCTAACAAAGTTAAAAACTTAATTGATACCCAGCGCGTAAAACGAGGAGAACGAAGGACAATGACAGAGAACAGACGAAAACAGGAAAATTGTTCAAAAGATACTAAATTTATTGCATTTTTTGTCGATTCGGTTCTAAATATTTTAATTGTGCCGATTGAGCCATAAACCTTTTCACGTTTTGCCAATTGAGTCCATCCGGATCTACCCTGCTCGTGCTTCCTAGTTCATTGCATCATCACTTACGTAGATTGTAAGAAGAATCCATGGATGTGTCGATTTACGTTTGAGAACAAGGACGGGGATGGCGTTTAAAGCCGTTGGTCCATGGAAGTTTCGACGAAGACAACTGGCCATTCTGGTGGCTTTGAGATGTACGTGGAGGAGGCAATGACCTGAAAATTAGGCAAGTCCCCTTTTCAAAGACGTCTCCCTTGACCCATACGTGGACATCTCCTCACCTAACTCGGGCAATGCTAATCACGAGTTAGGAGAGAAAATGGGGAAATTTGACTGCCATTCGAGAACTACGTTGTTGGAAGAGCTACATTGAAATTTCGCGCAAAGATTTAAGATCAAACTGACAAAATCGAAAAGTTAGGGACTGAATTGACATTCGTATATATCGAGTTCTTGTTCGATTAAGAATATGCTCGCTCCATCGCAACTTTTCTTTTCCTTATCTTCTTCTTCTTTTCCCCTTTTCCGACGGGGACTTTGGACCCCCAAAAAGTGAACTAAAGAAAGGAACAAACGAAAGCCAGAAAAAGGAGGAGGACGGACCCAGTTGGAAAGAAGCGTGAGTATTACGAAGAAAAATTCGGATCGAAGGCGCGCATCGAAGCAGCTTCCACGTTCACTTTCGACGCGTGACTTGTCTCGCACTTCGCATAGAGGGTGGGGGTTTTAGATGGAAGTGGCTCCCCCAATTTTTGACTAACGGCTCGCGCCTTTAACGTGGAAAACGAGATTCGATTTTGCTTTGAAGCAAAAGCCGGTGTTGCTGTGAGGTCCCGATCACTTCCCCCTTTTTACAGAACCCAACAGCTTTACTCCCACACCACCTGATTCAACATGCTCGGAAACATCAGTCGCCTGACCAAAAGCCGTGCAAGTCCGCATCGCGACGCGCACGCCTCGAGACTCGTCGGGGATTTGCCTATGAACACGTTGAGCTAAGACGCCGATGAGGGGAAGTTAATAGGCGCTCCCCTGAAAGACCACGTCACTGTCTACTCAACTGGTCACCGAGCTCGAAAAAAACTTGCTTGAGCGCCTTTTGTTTCGAGGAAAATGAAAGAGGGTCGTTATTCTTGGTGCGTCGGAATTTTGCGACTAGAGTTCGCTCGGCAAAAATCAGCAAGCGAAACTTACCAACAACCAAACAGACGATCGACGCCTCCCAAAACCCAGCCTACAGTAAACGGCGGAGCTCTCGCCGGCGAGAACACTCGAGCCTCGCTGACATACGAAGGAATCAAAAACATGCAGAAGCCCGTTAGGAAGTAAACATTGCTGCACAGCTTTTTCAGGCTGACCGCTCCAAAACCTCGACACAAGATACACGTTACATTCTGACCACGCCTTTCCAGGACCCACGCAGTCCTGGGATGCAAAAGTGGTCACTTCATGTTATGCCGAGCGCTTTACTGAGACCATGAAGTAACCACACAGATTATGTCAATCGAAAACAGCTAGGTAACAGAAGTACCTCTTTCCTTTGTCAATCGCCGTTCCAAGGAACAGATCCTGACCAAGCACCACGCCCGAATCAAAACCGGAACGAGTCGATGAGAAATCGTAGGAAACCACACATAAGTGAATACTAGGTCTACAGACTCGCGAATCTAATTATTCCCGGTTTCCAAAAGATCGGATTATAAGCCGACCGATAATTTCGATTTAAAAAGTCACGACCCCTGGTACCAGTTAATCATATCCCACGCCAATTTTCACGCCAGTATCTAAATCACTACCATCTCCCGACTTGCAAGCCGCCGGACTGAATTAACCTCGAGTAGCGAGAGGATAATGCGACGAGCCACTCGCGAATGGATACCGGTGGGCCAGCAACGGGCGATAAATCAAAGACGATTCCCTTCGAATTTAGAGCATCAAATTTCAAACAAGAGCATTCCTCACAAACTGCATCTCACTAGTCACTCCACACAACAGTCTATACCTTTTGAGCTTCGCTATCAGCAAGCTCGGGCAACAGCTGACTAGTGCTTCTACACCTAATTGAAACCGGGAAATTTTCGGATACAAAAGTTCTCTAGAGCTGTACATTTAGCGGAGTGAATGGTATCACTAACCATCGATTGCCAAACCGCTCTAAACTCGGGCAATTCAATTCCAGCAAACTCGGGCAATTCAATTCCAGCAAACTCGGGCACGATTTTGTAGGACCGACACCAATTAGAACAGGTTTGTGCGTGTTGGGACGACAGTCGGTGATGGCATGAAGCTGATCATCTGAAGATCGAAGTTCAAAACCTTCGGACCCATGAAGTCAACAATTCAAATTTGATGTGCCGAGGGACAGTCATTGGTTTACCCCGACTGTTCGGAGATTCCCCTAAGATCTTGTTTTAGGAGTCTTTACCGCCACCGCCACCGCCACCGCCACCGCCACTTGACCATCTTCTGAATGCGCATGCCATCAAACTCTTTCCGCTCAAACTGCCCAACCTTGCTTTAAAGGAAGATGACCGACTGGTGCCACTCGACGATGCAATATTAGCGCTGGCTGTTCGGCTAGGTACGGGTGGAAACTCCACATGATTTTCTTCTACTACGCCATCACTGGCGAACGCGTCTACCTGTTCTTGATCACTGGAGTCCAAATTCAACGCAAGCGATTCCCTCCTCGCTCTTAACCAATGTGCACCCTCAGAAGTCACTCCACCGCACTTCTTAACCTTCAGCTTCACCAAGTTAGGGCAACCGGAGGCTAATGCTTTCATTCCTTCATCCGAAACAGGGCAATTCTTGATGCAAAGCTTCTTGAGTACCATACATCTAGCCGCGATGCACACAATCTCAGGGTCTCCGACCGTATCGCTACTGCAAAACGCCAGCCTCTCTAGCGTGCCGCAGTTAGATCCTAGCAAATCCAAGCTCGATTCCGTAGGATTGACCCCGATAAGAACGAGCTCTTGCAGATTAGGGCAATGCTTCGCGACGGCAATCAAACCATCGTCGCCAATGCGGTTCAGCTTCAGTCCATCAATGTGGAGCTTCCTCAATAACTTACAACGTTCGGCGACCGATACGAGCCCTAAGTTCGTACACTGCGGCGTCTTCAACAGATGCAGTATCTCAAGATCCGAGCAATTAGACAGCGAGGCGATGCCGAAATCGCTTACCTGGATCCTCTCCAGGTGGATCTCCACTATCTTCGCGACCCTCTGCACCATAACTTGGAGCACCGTGTCCCAGTCTCCGTAACACTTCACCAGCTTCAACGTCCTCAAATTCTTGGAGCCGATGATCAGCGGACCGAAGCACTGCCCATTGTAAAGCTCCTTCAAGCAAATCGTTTTCAGGGAAGCCGCCGCCGCGCCGGGCCCAATCGGGTCCGTCGCAGCTCCATCGGCGGGGCTCCGGAGCCGCTTCACGGACAGCTCTTCGAGCGAGGCACAGTGATCGATCACGGCGTTCATGCCTTTGGCTCCGAACGCGCAAGATCCGCAGGAGAGCTTCCTCAGCCCCCGGCAATTGCTCGCGAAGACCGCGATCCCCGTGTCGGTGAGCTCGCGGCAGCCCCGCAGCTTGAGGCGCGTGAGTTTCCTGCACTTGAGCGAGATCAGCACGAGCGCGTCGTCGCCGATGCTCAGCGACTTGCGGTCGCACTTGAGCGCGAGCTTCGTGACCGCATCGAATCGCGCGAACAGCGCCGGGACCGAGTCCAGCAGCTCCGACTGGGCATTGAGGGCGAGCCTGTGGCGGCTCTGGCCTTCGATCGTGAGCCAGCGGCGGCACACGAGGGAGCACCGGCTCCGGTCGCCGGAGCCAAGGTACTGGAAGACGCAGGCCAGGCACTCGTCGGGGAGATCGGAGATGGACACGGACACGGACACGGAGAGATCGGGGGCGGCGCACTCGCCGGCGGCCTCCCCGGGCACCGGCCAGATCACGGCCTTCGACTTGGAAGCCGAGCGGCCGCCGAGGTCGAGGTCGAGGTCGGGGTCGGGGTCGGGGCCGCGGCGGACGAGTACGGAGGCCGTCGAGGACGGCGACTGGCCCATCGCCGGCGGAGGCGGAGGTAGGAATGGGGGGCGGTGGTGAGGAGGGCGGGGGATTCAGGGCGGGGCTTATCTTATCCTCTGGTTGGGTTGCACAGGGAGGGACCGCGGAGATTAGTGCGGTGGGTGGGGCCTGTGGACACTGTTTTTGTCGGCTTTGGAGATCGAGAAATGTCAGAAGGAAGAAGAAGTGTCGCGTTTGAAGAGTCAAAGCGCGCAGGGATCGGCCCATCGAGGAGAGAGCTCAACTGGGCCCGGCATCAACTCTCGGCCCATCTTGGGTCGGTCCAGGCCCATGACCGACCCAACCCGGCCGGCCCTGGTCCGGTTCCCAAGGGGGACTGGGCCAGTCTCTAGTCCTAGGGTCGCTGGAATCTGTACAGTGCGCGGGTTGGTCCTTCCTTGGTCTCGACACTAAAAAAAAACACTAGAAAACTAAAGAAGGCCATAATCCTTTCTTCACAACGCAAACCCTCAGCTGATTGTTTTGATGTGTGTTCATGAACAAATGCCATACCGTGGTTACTGAATAAAGCAGGTATAGGATGACGGTGATCGTGCTTCCACGGCGACTAGAGAATAGAACCCTTGAGAGCTAGAACACTGACATGGCGATACTACACTGATTTGACAACATCAAACGCGTTTAATTTGCAAACATACATTAACCACTGATCTGACGATACTGCATTGATTTGTTGCCACCGTTTTTATTAGTCCGCCCAGGAACCGAACTAGACCGATTCCATGGGGCATCGATCAAATCCTCAGTTTTGGAAATCGGGAATCGATTCCTCAAGTCCGATTCCCAGTTCCTAGGTGAAAACCAGACCTCTCAGGAACCGATCATTCCTGATGCCAATTAGTTTTGTAGAGCGACAATTGAGCATTTAATGAATAAAAACAATAATAAAAAAAAAAAGATAAAAAAAAAAAAAAAAAAAAAAAAAAAAAAAAGCGGGTGATAGGTTTCGTTTCTCAGACGAACAAGAAGCAAGAGCCCAAAGTGTGCAGTGGGGCCCAGCGCGGGACCTGATCTCTCCCTCGCGAAGGATCGGCACCACGAGCAAAGGCCTTCACCGAATCACCTTCGCCATCCTCGCTTCCGAGAGCATTGCCAGAGCAGAGCGGCAGCCCCCCTAGAAGCTTCTGCCTCTCCGCTCATGGCAGCTCCTCCTCTGCTCCTGAGGAGCGTGCCGGCTCTCCGCCTCCGGCTCCACCTCCACCACCGCCTCTTCTCCGGAGGCTTCCGCCCGCTGTGCGCCGCGGCGGCGGCGGCGGCGGCCTCCGCCTCGACTGAGCCTGCTTCGCCGGGGGAGAAGGCGTCCCCCGAGGACAAGGCGAGCGCGGTGTTGTCGAGCGCCAAAGAGCCGCCCAAGTACCACAGGTGGGACGATCCCGACTACCGGAAGTGGAAGGATAAGGAGGAGGAGATTTTGAGGGACATCGAGCCCATTGTCTCGCTCGCCAAGGAGATTCTCCACTCCGACAGGTCTCTCTCTCTCTCTCTCACACACACACACACGCAATGATTACTTAAACTGGATGTTCTGTGTCGACAATGATTCGATTATTCTTGTGTAGTCCGAATTTGTGAGCGTCAGTTGTTCATTCCGCGCAAAGTAGTTGAAAGTTGCTCCGGTGATTCGTTGCTGCGCACTACTGAAACTGCGGTCGGAATTTGGTTAGAGTAATTAGATTTAAAGTAGAATTTGCCAGAATAATTTCCGAGCCCTTCTTAAGTTTTGTTGACTGAACTGTGCATATTTCCTGTAGTCAGAGAGCATGAACTTTTTGATGGAAGATCGTGCCACTGGAAAGGAATTGATTCGATTAGGATGCAAATTCACTTGATGCCTGAAATGTGCATGTTGGGCATGTTTCAATTTACAGTTCGCTATGCGTCTATGTCGGGAACATAGCTTGCATGCACCCAGCTTATATGAGTTTCATCTTGTGGTGAACGCTTTCGAAATTTTTTTTCTTTATGTAGAAGTGAGTTATATCAATTCGACAGCTTTGCTGAAGGATGTTGAACTCCTCGATAAAGAACCTACGTAGCTTGGAAGGTGAAAGTCGGTTGTGATTAATTACATGGGGACTTGATAATGGCTATGAATTTATACAGGCATCCTTCTTTGGCACCAAGCATCTTGGGTGAAGAATTGTATGCGAATATGAAAACACAAACCTCTTGGGATGTCTCTTTTTTGTTTCTTTTTTTTTTTCTTTTGCGGCTTGAAAACCTGTTGGGATTTCTCATTGAATGAAGAACCAAATAATAAAAGTCACAGCATTCTCACACATCTCATTCAGACAAATGAGTTGCATACCCTTTGTAGACAACAGCTCTCTCTCTCTCTCTGTGCGTGTTTTGTGTATAGCTATTAGCTTTATCGTCACGTCTGTCATCCAACTATTTCTGTGTTCCGCTAGTTGATAAAAGTGGTTCCATGGACAGTTGTGGTGGTGAATTATTTACCATCTTCTTTCCTTCAGTTTATATTGTCTATCTCAGGATCTTGGTACTCTTGATTACCATTTCAGAACAGCCGACCACTCTTGTATTGTATGCCCTTTCTCTTTAGATAAGCCATGACTTAATACTCAGAAATCTGCAGATGCCTTGTACCATCTTCATATGATGTTCTTGTCATTCCATGCCTGAACATTTAATTGATTTCAATAGAGGTGATTGATTTTTCTTGGAAAAAAGTAAAGATGGATAATTTCCAATCTACCATTTCTCTGTGCTTTCCTTACCTTTGCTTTTCTTCTTCTCCTCCATTCCTCTTTTACTCACTCTGATACTAGCAATGGATGTTAGCTTTCCCCAATATATAGAAAACGGCCTATTTGCATTATGAATAATAATAATCCAGGACCTTTCCAGTTCTACCTTGAATTTCTGATTTTCCAACTCTACCATGAAGGTACCTGTCAGCCAGCCATCAGTATTACACTAGTGACATGATTAACTGCTAATATGGCTCAACATAGGGCTAGTGTGGTGATAAGATTGAGTTATGAAGTTAAAAAATGGACTTAGATAAAGTGAAAGCGAAAAGATGATTAACAATCGGAATTATTTGCCCTGCATGTCCTATTCTCCACTTTGTTGTTGAGTTATCTTTGAAGCTGACATCAGCGGTAAAATTAGACTGCATTTTCACATATCAATTGATCATCCTAAATGTCCATTCGTGCTTTTTAATGAAACATATATTTGACCAATCAAGACATGCCAATCTCTTATTTTCATTTAGCAATATCACTGGACATTGACAGAGGGTCGATCCAATAAGATAGACAGACTTTTTTTAATGAAAAATATATTTGACCAATCAAGACATGTCAATCTCTTATTTTCATTTAGCAATATCACTGGACATTGACAGAGGGTGGATCCGGTAAGATAGACAGAAATGATTCCCCTGTCGGGCCACTCCTTAGGTCAACTGCTGGGGCTGAGTCGGGATAATTGAAAACCGGCTGAAGTTTTGGGTCTTTTTAGGAATCAGGCCCTAAGACAGAGCTTCTAAAAAATTTGAAACTATCTTCCATTAGTGTGGCTAGTCAATGTTTTTTATTTTTTATTTTTTTGGTCTGAGGCTAGTCAATGTTGAGTTCCTATCATCTTATATTATTTGGCTTTAGGGTATTGGAAGGACTACAAAATACTAGAAATCTGTGTGCATGTAAGTTCACTAGAGAGGGAAAAATGGACTTGCAGGCTGAGAGGTTGAAAGTTAAAAGATTCAGCATTTAATAAGATGATGCATGTTTGATAATATTAATTAGTTGACTAAAAAGATCCGATGAAGTAAAAAGTTCATGAAATGACTTAGGTAAAGGGGTTAATTGACTCAATAGATTGCCAATAAGTTTGCTATAACCTACATATACTATCCACAATTCCATTTTAGGTAAGAAATGAGTTATACTCAGAATTGAAATTTTTGCTATCATCAAACAACTTTTTCTTTTTTAAGCACTTAAAGTCGTCAACACTTAAAGTTCAATAATTAAATTTTCAATACTTATTTTTGATATTATCAAACAAGTGGTGAGTTCTTCAGTTGTTTTAAATTTTCTTCGACACTGTTCTTCTTCTCTTAGTCTGAAAATTAGAGATGAGATGATCTCGATAAGAAGGCACCAAAGGCATGCCAATTAGTCTACAAAGGCTCATGGTAAGCCATTTATAGAAAAGCTCAAAAAGTAGCTCAAGGATACAAGCATATTTGACGACAGCAAGCATCGACTTGTGACTTCTTATAATGCCAAAAAATGAGCACTTCCATCTGTTTACTATGGAGATGGAATACGATTTCTGAGAAACGGTTTCCTTTTTGTCAAAAGATATCGCCACGCATTGTTATCTTCAAACAGCACTGAGCTTGAGGACAAATACCTGTATTTTATACCTTTAATTTGAATAACAAAATAGTTAGATGCAGTGCTGCAATATTACCTACAGGATATAGCATCCTAAAAACATGAAAATTTAAAATTTCTGTGAGAAGAAAAAGGATGAAAAATTTAGAATTATGAAAAATTTCTTCGCATTATTTCCTCTCCTAGAGTCTTTCAAATATAGCCTACAGATAGTCTTAGGTTGTTATGCATGATTGCAGGTCATTCTTTTTTACACGCATGTTTTAGACCCATGATTAGTAGGACGGCTTCGTATCTCCCTAAATTTTCTCGTTGCCGAAACAATGGCACCTGTCCTTATTACAAACAGCATTTACCATTTGACAGTTGCCATCACCACTTGATATTTTATTCCCTCCAGCAATCCTAAGCTTAATAAATGTGCTTAATCTACTGTGTGATATCCCTGCTCGCTAAGATCTTCTTCCTCCACCATTGGACTCTTAAATTCATTTCAATCACCGGCAATATTTGTCCATATTCTGTTCTTAAATGGCTAGGAACTTGGTGGAGTTTGTAAATCATGTCAAGCTCTCCCAATACATCTAGTCCGTATTCTGTTTTTATGATGTCATTCGCTATTGTATGCTTGAATCTCGGCCGCACTTCATGACTACTTGTTTCGTATTGGTTGTGCTTTTTTCATTAGATTCTCACTTCTACACTTCTAATCCTAGAGTTCAGGAAATAATATTTGTAAAAAGTTGCACCAAAGAATTTTCTTTCGTAGGATTGATTAGAAATCTAGATTGATTTTGTTAACACCGGTGCTGCATAAGGCTTTTGATTTAAAATTGGCTGGCATCACTTATTTGGTGGTTAGCTGCATACCATTTTGATCATAGTTCAATTAGTTAAGGTGTTTCTCCTATACAACTTTTGATAATTGTGACAAGCTAATGGTGAATGTAAGTGGAGGATTATTTGTCTTATTTGATAATTATTGAATTATCCTTTTGGTGGACTATGAGTGGGATTGGGCTTACAAGTTACACAGTCATGATTTAGGTCAGAATTACTTGATTTCAGATAAATCTTAGAAGTTAACTGATGAAAACATTTGCATCACACTAAAGGTGTTGATAGTTGCTTCATTGTGAATTGCACCTACCTGTCAAAGTCATGTTGATGCAGCAGTTGGTGAGTTGAGAGTGCTCTCAGTTCCTTATTTAGTTTTTTTTTTTTTTTTGGTTACCAGGTACTTGGATGGGCAACGACTTACAGCTGAAGATGAGAAAGCTGTTATACGGAGGCTTCTCATGTATCATCCACATGCTGAAGACAAAATTGGTTGTGGACTTGATTACATAATGGTAAGCTCTCCTGCACTTATATTTGCTTTAAGAAGAAATAGGGAAAAAGCCATAAAAAGACCTCAAACTATGCCTACTATGATACATTTACCCTAAACATATTTTTGTGACACAAAAAAAACCCAAACTTGAACCCATGTAACTCATTTACCCTCCATTATGATTCTATCTGAAAGCACCGTTAAAAGTCCTACGTGGCTGCTGACGTGGACGGCGAAATACAAATGAATCTGATGTGGCGTCCACATGGCTTAAGTGATTAAAAAAATGGCATTGTTTTGACAGCTTATGTGGACAACGGTGCCGTTTTGCTCTCTTCTCTCGGTTGCTGAAGTCCATTTGAGCAAAATTTTAGGGCTCTTTGTTCATGTTTATCTCTCTTTAGGTTCCTCGCCAAATACGCGATTGTTTGACCATGATTTATCCAAATCGAGCTTCCGTTCAACTCAGGCGAGTGATTACAAGTTCAAATTTTTCCTAATCCGTGGTTGTTTGTACTGTCTGGTGTTTTTCTGATTCTGGGTTTTGCCCCCTTTTCTGGTATTTGAATTCCTTCAATAGCCTGGTATGGTCTGGTTTTGTTCCGCCCATTAATCTTCATTTTAATCACTAATGCGCAAAACGCTCGAATCTGACTCCTCCGTCGCTTTCACCGTGGAAGGCAGTATTATCTGATCTCCCCCGCCGTCGTTGTCCATGCGACTGCTGAAACTCTGACTTTCCATTGTGTGACTGTGACTGAGTGGGACTGACTGGGACTGCGACTGTGAGTGTAAAAGAATGTCTTGCAATTTCATTTTCTCCTCCATTCTATGTAGCCTCCTAGTGAACGCCTTGAAACATGCCGAAATATTAATTACTAGCATTGTATTAGCTCGAATTTTGTCTAAAATTTCTAGCATTGTATTAGCTCTAATTTTGTCTTAAATCTTTCTCATTCCTCATTCTGGCTCTCTTGTTGCAAATCGCAAGGCAAATCTCTCCTCCATGCTATTTCACGCTCTTCTAGTTCTACATGATCAATGGATTGCCCACTCTTTTCTTTTTTGTACAAACCCTATCTTTTCATGATCACTAACCCCAGGAAGAACCCTGATTCCCCAAACCGAGCTCCAGGGAGAACCCTGACCGCAAAACGAGAGAGACGAAGAGCAACAGAAGAGATGAAGAGCATGACACCGTTTTGTTGATATCCACTTAATTCACATGGGCATCGCGTCAGCGCTGTTTGCATTCCGCTGTTCACGTCAGCTGCACATAGGAACCGTTAGGGTGAGCAGTTGAACTGAACTGAATCATGAATCAGTTCTGGCCAGGTCGGGTTTTTGGTTTTTTTTTTTTTTTTTCGCCCCTGTTCACAATGTAAAGTTAACAAAGCAACTGTGGACTCATCTTTGCCATGGCCTGCTGTTGTATATTATAGGAGTTATTCTCCCATTAACATGATTTTCAACTAAAGGTTTTCGAACGATTTTCAACTAAATTGTGTATCATGAAGAATTCATGGAAAATTAGGACTTGGTGGAGTCCGTGGATCATAGAGAGAGTCCTTTTCCTTTGTCCTTTTTGAACATCCATTTTCTTTGATAAAAAAAAGAACATCCATTTTGACAAGAAATGAATGTTATGCGACTGTTGTCCTAGAATTCCAAAAGGATTGTGAATGCCTATTCATATGCTCTCTCTCTCTCTCTCTCTCTCTCTCTCTCTCTCTCTCTCTCTCTCTCTCTTTTCCTTTTCTAAGTTAATTCACTTCCTCCTCTGGCTCCAGTTGCCCTGATTTTGTGATTACTTTGCATTTCGGAAAAGATAAGGGGAAAAGGAAAGAGGTATAGTTGAAAGTGGATAAAGGCTGTGTCGAAGAGACGGAGAGAGATTGGGCTGAGCTTCACAGGTTCGAGTCACATGCCAGGCTGTTCACAGAAAATTATGTTGATATTTGATAGGGCGCACGCTATTCTGTCATATATTATAGGAGAGAGGGATAATCGGATATTAAAGGTTTTCTAGGGTTTTCGAATGGATTGCGGGGGGTTTGGTTTTGATCTACATTTTTTAAAGATAAAAAAAGAAAAAAATTTGTAACCCGAACCAAACCGGACTGGCGAGCTACCCGAAATCCTTTACCTATAACCCAAAAGACCCAAATTTCTTGTTTCGGTTCGGTTTTTGACACCCCTAGTCAAACGGGTACATGTTTGAGGTTTTTGGTGTCACCAAAAAAAGTTTAGGGTAAATGTGTCACAGTGGGCATAGATTGAGTTTTTGGTGTTGGTTTTTTCCCAAAGAAAAAGAACGTAAAAGAGGCATTCATGTTACAAAAAATTATTTTTTAAGCACTTCCGCTGCTAATTAGAATTTGAAGTTATAAAACACCCACTCCCCTTCCCTCATTAGAAAGAAGAAAAAAGAAAAGAAACTTAGCGGCCAAGTTGATGATTGAACTCAAACAACTGTTAAGATGGTGATATTATTGATGGAATTAGTTTTTCTCCAAACCACAAGATCAAGCTCTACCAAGTGGTATGGCATGCATTTGGCCTCTATAGCAAAATTTTGATTCTATTTTCTCTTCTTATTGCATATTTAGCTGCAAACCATGAACATTGAATGTCTCTTTGTCGGATCCATTTGCATCATGTAGTTGATGACCATGAACTGTTCCTTATTCTGCACATCTAACATATGCTGGCATCTCATATTCTTTGATCAGGATACCACACACGGTTTCCCTTTTTTTTTAACGGCCAAAAGCGTGGCATTGGCAAATCACTAATGTTTCTATTGTTCAGCTCTGTGGTTTGTCTCAGTAGAATGTTGAAGTGCAGTACACTTGTTATATTTAACGATGCTTGTTCTTGTAATGATTGTCACTTGCAGACTGCAAGTGGGCTTGTAAACGTGACTCACATGTTCAACACTTGATTAAAGTCCAATGCATAAGTAGATAAATTTTATGAACCAGTCTTAATAGGCCTATCATTAAAGAAATAACTCAGTCTACTCGGTGACGAGAGAACGAGTTTACGCTACTTAGCATATTATGCCTGGTCAATATAAGGAACTCCTTGTGCTTCTCAAGGATCTAGTGCCCTGCTGTTTGAGTGAAATGAATGTAGTTAACTACAAAATACGTGCATAAGGAGAAAGAAATTCTTAATCCTGAAGAAAACTAATAGGGACAATGTAGCATGCATAGATGGATATCAAACATGTACCGGTGATAGTTAGATCACAGAAGAAGAATGAACTCAATAGCAGACTACAACTACAGAGGAAACTATGTGAGAGAACTCATCATGTTGACAGTAACTATTCCATAGAGTCGTAGAGAAAGAGGTTTGGTGTTATGGTAAAATAGTTCAGTTGCAATGATGCTCCAATTGCCCGAACATCCCTTGCTGTAAGTAACAGGCTAGACATATCAAATTATCATTTAGGTTGACTTATGTCTTGCTTGTTTTTTTCTTTTGGAATTTTTCAGCACTGAGCTGTCCTTTATTTTACTCAGTAAAGTTCTCTTTCTTCTTTCTCTGTCAACTTGAGTGCCTGTAGGAGACATTATTTGATTATATTCCTTAGCTTTTCTTGGGTTTACCGTCACATGCCCCTTTTACCTGGCAATCCATTAAGTGTATGTCCCGTAAAGGTGGCTTTTGAATTTGAGGTGAGAGATTATGACCATTGTTTTCCACCCCATTGCTTTTTGTACCGCAGAGCTTCTCTCTGGTGTGGTAATAGGTCTATTAATTTGTAGTTTGCACTCAAAATAGAACCAACATTACTGATTCTTTTTTGAGCAGAAATATGTCCACACAGCTGTTCCGATTGCTCATAGTAATTTATGCTTTTATGGTGAAGTTTATTGCTTGTCATTGAGGTAAACATGGGAAATACTTCCTTGTCAGAACATGTCATGACATGATTGAAACATTTAAGAAATGATCTAACTTGCCTTTTCCTCTCATTGAAGGTCGAGCGACATCCCCAGTTTAGAGTTTCAAGGTGTCTGTTTGTCGTAAGAACCAATGGTGCATGGATAGATTTCTCGTACCAGAAGTGTCTTCGAGCGTATATCCGATCGAAGTACCCGTCTTATGCTGAAAGATTCATCCGGGAACATTTAAAACGCGGCAGTGGTTAATGCATGTCGAAGACTCGTGCTTCATACTGTAAGTTCGACAACAGTTTTGGAATCACTAGAGGCTGTTGGCTCGTATAAAATATTCCGATTTGGCCGTGAAGCTAAAGAAATGCTCATGCACTTTAGATTATGTCATTAGTCAATGGAGCAGATGATGCTTTGACCGGCACCTCAAGTTCAACTGTTTGTTCACATGTGGGGACAAGAACATGATTGAAGGTGAACTCCACTTTTTCTTTTTGGGTTGGCTTTAGGACTTGTTTTCGGTAGGAAATTGGTAGTTAGCCTCTCTCTCTCTCTCTCTCTCTCTCTCTCTCCAACTATCTGGATTCTTTTGTCTGTAAAGGGACATCATGAGTGAACATAGGGTCAAATGCTGTTGACTTATATGAATAGATGATGTAGAGCTACGTTAATCAATGATATGGTTCAAGGTTGATGCTTGATTAGGTGACTTGTTTTTATGAATGAGTTCATTATGGACGGTACTAGCCCGAATTGAGAAGTTCCTATGGTGGTCCAGGAAGAGAAATGGTAGTGAATGGGTCAGGAACCGAGTCAAAACTCAAAAAGGAGTCATTGTTAAGCTGGGTCTTGCTTTGCTTCATTGTGCAAAAGTCAATGGGAGGGAATCCATTATTGGCCAGCTCTGAAAAGACTGCAAATAATGTTCTGGGGTTGGAGGACACCCATATCTCTTTTTCTTCTGTGTTTTCAACAAATAGACGATTTGATACATGTCCAGTAGACAAAAGCCCTACTAGAGTTAGACAAAGCCTTGAATTTTTGTCCTTTCTCTGCCATCCATGGCCAAGTACTTGTGCAACTTTTTACCCAAGACATCAAAGCATCATGAGCTGCTGCTCTTAGGGCACGTCTCCCGTTTTCTTACTCCAATTTTGGTTTGGTTCGGTTTGGTTTGGTTCGGTTCTTTGAATATCAGATTCCATACCGTTTCATCTCTTGAACATAAGGACCACATCTTTTTATTTATCAGAGTGCATCAATGCTTTTCTCATACTTGTTAGCAGGGTCCTAACTGGCATCTGATGCGTATTCCTTCTGAATTACCGCATTCCATTCATATCTTAGTGATATAGGAATTGAAATCTCCATCTTCTAGTGTACAATGAACTTTTCATGGACTTTTCTTGGACAGTGGTTTTGCAAACTCGTCATGAAAATGAATATATTTCTTTAGGGATGAATGTCTTCAGTTGTTGGCGCTAGTATTTTTTTTTTTTCACAGAGGTCAGTGAAACGCCACTTTCATGATTTTCTCTTCGGAATGATGATGATTGGTCGCACTAATCTCCACCAGGGAAAAAGAAAAATCTGCTTTGCTGACAATGAGGGGTGAACTACCATATCTTCTAATAGGGGTTGAGGACTGCCAGTGCAACTATAGGGCAGTCAATGTGACAAATCATTTCTAGATTGGGTGAAACAACCCCCGAAAAAAATTGATTCGTGTAATGTTAAGTATATGATTACCCTTAGATTAAATTGATTTACCGAATAATGTGACAGGCTCGTGTGGACAGTTGATTGTGGCCCATTTGTAGTTTGCCTCTTATCATTTTGTTAATCTAGCAATTTAATGGTGATTTGAATCTGTCTAGCGTCACTTCGCGTTTCGTGTGCACGCTAAAAAGTCAACGGTATGATGATGCTCGAATAATTTACCAACTTAATTTCTTTTAGCTGTCGTGTTTTGTGTCCGGTAAAAATCTTTGTTCGAGGAACAGAAAGGAGACGATGTCATGGGCCAAAGTTTGTCCTCGCGAAATTGTCATTTTTTCTTAGTGGTTTGGAGGCTAATCGACATTCTTCATCATCGAAGAAAATAATGCCGCATTCTTTATGGGCGACATATTCCTCACGTCACATTTTTATCTTGTAACATGTGCGTACCGCATACAAGATTGTAGTTATCATAGTACAGTTGACAGAACGGTCTATAATTAGAGACGGAAATTCACATTGCAAATAGCTAAATGTACAATATTGTCGTAGTAGTTGTCGTCGGTAAAGTTATGATTAGAAAAGGAGACAATAACGATGTTAGTTCTAAGGTACATAGTGTGATGCTTAGAAATCCTTATGCCACGTACCATATGTTGGTCACGTTTCCTTCCCAATCATTCCATTTTTGCCCCCTCTTTTGTTCCAAAAGTCGTTTAGCCGCTTTTGGACAACATATCATTGCACCTATAAATTTTTGTAAAAAGCAATTCTCATTTGTCAAGCTAACATTTCTTTCTGTACTTTTTTTGTCTGTCTTATTTTTAACTCTCTTCACTCTCTGATTTTTATTTTGCCTCTTGCAAAATGCGAGAGTCAAATCCCGCACATATGATACTAGCGTCACCACTTCCTCAATTCATTTATCAACAAAGCCGCATGCCTATTGGCTTTCTCTCCGTGCTTGGTGATTTAGTGTTTTCTCTCTTTTAGTTTTATGATTTCTCATTAGCCAAGTCACTCGTACGGCTTAATTCAAATATCAAATGAGCAAATTTCCATTGATGATAATCGTACAATCTCTAAGGAATGAATGTTGATGTTGATGACACGTACCAATAGGCAACCCTTTCAATCATTATGTTGAAGGATTCAACTCGAGTCCCACCACGGCTTATAACCCCATCATTGTCTAAGGTGGGTTTCTTTTGGATTTGGAAAATGTTTTTTGCGAGAATGATTACTTATGTTGCTTAAGAAAATAAGACGAAAATATCTAGACGTAAATTTTCGTCAATAGTAGAAAAATTCTCTTTTGACTAATTCTTCTATGTTATAATATCTACGTGTTAAATCACACATTCATTGATCAGCTTAAACTTATCGTACAGTTGACAGTATTTCCATAGAATTTCATATGGTATCAAAGTAGGGTTCTGCCTCGATTTCTTTGGCGTGTGCATGGACTGCGTTATTTCATGTGTTATTCCTAATTTGGCTTGCACGTGAGAGGAGGTATTGAAATATCTCACATCATCTGACTATGGGGTTAATACACTCTTAATATACATGTGATATCTATCCATCTATTAGCTTAAGCGTTTAGAATAATTAGCAGCAATCCCACAAAATCTCAAATGATATTAGAGTAGGAAGTATTGAGGTTGAACTTTCCAAACTCTTAATTTACCTCCTTATTATATATTTCCACCCTGTAATCTTAGGCCAAAATCCAGCCTATAGGTGAAGGGAAGTAATGGAGTAGTTAAATATTAAATTTTACATCTATCTATCAACTTAAGTTTTTAGAACTATTGGCAGTGGTCTTATCAAATGTGCGTTCACCCCATTATTTCACGTGTCATTCCTAATCCGGCTTGCACATGAAAGCAGCTGTTAAAGTATCCAACATCACTTAACTGTGAAGTTTATACGTTATTTATATACATGTAATTTCCCTCCACTTATTAGTTTAAACTTTTCAAATAACTGACAGTAAACCTACGTAACCTCACCTGGTATCAGAGCAAGATTTCTAGAGTCGAGCGTATCGGTAACCTTAGACCAAAGTCTAGAGTACGCGTGAATGAGAATGTTAAAGTATCTAAAGATCCAATTACGCTTTTACCTATCAACTTAACTACTCGATTTCGTTTTCTTACTCCATCAATGTAAAAATTTCATTCATGAAAATTGTCCTAGTAGACATATCGATGTCAAAAATGTTAATATTGCATCCATAATAGCTTCTAAAAAAATGCATGATAATCGTTCAAAATTTGTACCATAGAACATGAAAATCCGTTAAATTAAAATGGAAAGAAAAAGACTACGCAAGCTCTCTCCTACAATTACGGAGAGAAGCACCATCATTAGATACACTAAAACGCCATCTCTCCCGGCCAGCTGGAAGCTGCAAGATATCCGGTTGGGTCCTTCATTCCTTCCCACGGCAGTCATGATGAGTTTCTCATCAGTGGGGTCTCCCAAGTTTGGTAATATTTGTCAAATGAAACATCATTGAATCTCCCTTTCCTGGAAAAAAACCCCACTGAATCTCACCAAGAAAAATAAGTTTCCACCGTAAAATCTTCGACATATTCAAATAATAGTAAGAGCCGTCTACAAAAATCGAAGGGAGATTGTTTAATCGACCATTTACGGTTTGTCGTATCACTTAGTAAACTAATATTGTAAATTAGTTTTAGAATAATTAACCTTGCTTCAAAGAAAGTCGTGTGCGTAAAAAGACATTGACCATTATTGATGAAGTACAGAGCTCAGTAGATTGGGTCAAAGTGAGGTGAATACGAAGTAGGTACGGTCTAAGAGGGAGTAGGAGCGTGGGAAAAGTGAATGGTGGGAGAGGGAGTTCGACGAGTCCCAATGAGAAAAGAGATCGTGCTTTTTCTGATGCTGGGATTGACATGGTTTTACATCAGAACATCTCCACTCTCTCTGGTTCTTCTTGCAGAGAATGGCCTCTTCTGATCTTAAACCTAATTGATGAAAATGGAGCTGCTCATTCTTTTTTGAGACCCTTCTCTGTCTGAGATTTGGTAAAAGCAAAGAGGAAGATGATCCCCAGAATCATGTGTACACAAGGGAGAGAATGATAAAGATGAGTGAGGTTGAAAGGTTGTGGTAATAAAGGACTCATCTTCTCCAATTTAAGAATTTATCTTACTGACACACATATGTATATATGCTGTGCAAATGAATAATGACACCGCTTACCAAAGCAGTTATATCAAGGATTTGTAAGAACCTAAAATTTTTTGAAAGTCAAATGCAAAGTTAATCGGGATTCATATCGCATTGTAAAGCTCGAATCGTCACACAACGTCAGCAATGCAATCAATGCATTAAATGCTTTCTTGTACACAATGGTGCTGTGATTGATGTTTGAGAGACATAGATTAATTAAGAAAGAACAAGCCTGTTTGATGACCCCAATTAAGGGCTAAAAATTAAGACTTTAGTATTTTATGATATTAATCTTATCAATTATATCGTTAAACCTACCATTACGATTCCGCATTTGATAAGAAATTAATTATAATTCGTGAGACTCTGTTTTTTTTTTTTCAGCGCCTAAGATTATCAACGTTTAAAATTTAGTAATTTAAGTTTTCAGTATTTACTTTTCAGTTTTGTTAAACAGGTATTTGCCTTCGAGCTAAACTCCTGCCGACTACTTTGGCCCAAAAAAACAAAATACTCTTGCCAACCACGTGGCAATTTTGTATAGGTCCATACCAATCACTTGCATATGACATTACCCTACTTATGTTGCATATTTAGATTGCACAACTGTCAATATACAGGATGGAGACAAATATTTTTGCTTTAGGAGAACATTGAACTGTGTGATTTGACATGTCCGATGAATGTCAACCATATTGTACATAGAAGGGATCTCACATATTAGATTATTTAATTCGATTTCATCACATCACGAAAAATGCAAAATGGGTCTCAA